ACGACCAGGCTACTCAGCGGTCGTCACAGGGTTACACCTTCAGTCTTGGTTCCGGCTCTGTTTCGTGGCGGGCTACTCGCTCGTCTTCTGTTCTCGGCTCCAGTTGTGAGGCTGAGATCTACGCCGGGGCCATGGCTGCTCAGGAGCTTCGCTGGCTCACCTACCTGCTGACTGACCTTGGAGAGCCGCCTCGTTCTCCTCCAGTGCTGTACGTAGACAACAAGGCCATGCTGGCCTTGTGTCGAGAGCAGCGCCTGGAGCACAGAACGAAGCACATTGCTCTCCGCTACTTTCTTGCTCGTGAGTTGCAGCAGCGTGGTCAGTTGCGACTTGCGTACGTGGCCTCTGAGGCCAACACTGCTGATGTTTTCACCAAGGCACTTCCGCCTTGTGATCATCAGCGCTTCTGCACTCAGCTGGGACTTGTACCTGTCTTACCTCACTTGCTCACCTCTTGATCTTACTTGTACTCTTGCATATATATATACCTGCTCTTGCTTGTTTAGTGTTATATATATATGTGTGTGCACTCCTGCATGTGAACTGGCCTTGTGGCCTTGACCTTGTGCTCGGACTGTGTGGTGACTTTGTGATCCACCCTGAGCTTGCTTTGCTTTGCTTTGCTTGACTGGTCTTGTGACCCCTTGTTCTCCCCCACTTTGCCTATGGGGGTGTGTCAGATATATATGACATAGCTGTTGTAGGCTATAGTGGGGTAGCACATATGGGGTATAGATTTCTAGGGTTCCATATTTGTATCACTTCCATTCCTTAGTGCATCATCCTCGTTCTCATTTTCACACAACATTCATCTAGCGTGAGTGGGTGTTGGTTGTATCGTTCCACCGATTGACGCTGTTCAAATAGCTTCTTCTAGATACTGACTTGATCGGCCTAGTAAAGCACAATTTGTGCTCCTATTACGTGAAAGAGTAATCCAGGGAAGGGATTGCATCGAGTACTGAACGACCATCCAACCTTCGCGCGATGGAAACGGTCGCAAATTTTCTCTTGGACGACTCATTTGTGAAGCAGGGTAACCCTGGCGAGACTCTTGTTGTCAGCGACACTCGACATTCCAATTTCGATTATGTGCTGGTTCGCGGGCCAATAGCATTTTATTACCCAACCAACCTTCCTAAGCTTGAAAGCTGTGGCCTTCGGGTTTTAACGCATGAAGACACCCATTTCAGGGTCCACTGCACCCACCATCCAGCTAGGTTGGGTGGTTAGTAGAAATTCAAGTCTCGATGGGTACGTAGATGCCCACCTCCATCGCGAAATCTCTTGTGGGCACAAAATGTACACAGTAGCTTTTCTTGCGGAAAAGCTGCGGAAAACCTTCTGAGAAACACCGAGGGTGAAAGTTGCGAGAATGTCACCTGTATGGCACAACAAAACAGCTACGGAAATGTCTCTTTCACCCCTCAAATGTGCACACCCACTTGTGTCTCGCGTGTTAAAGAGCGTTACAGTGCAGTTTAGGGAGTTCAGGTTGGCGGCAATTTCGCACAGCTGACGAAATGTTACTTGTGTGACCGAAATTTCTCCAAGCTGAAATTGAAACGACCAATCAACAAGCAGCGCGAATGTTACACGCCAACAGTGTTTCCCGAATTTCGTGGTAACGTCGCCAACCAAAACTCTACTAATTCAGGAATCAGAACCACATCTTGTGGTTCTGAACCATTCGATGTGGGAAACAAACCTGAGCCCACCAATCAGCATGATTCCTCATCTCTACGTCAGAGCTCTGAACCTAGAACCTCTCGAAATGTGCTCCCAACCAACCCCTTCTTGTACCTCCTCCTAGCTTTGTGTCTCATTTTCTTCTCAAAACTTAACGTTTTTCTCTAGTTACTAGGCGCGCTGCTCTTCTGTGTATCAATATTTTCTGCCACGATCAGATCCGTCTTCCCTAAGTATTCTCGTTTTAACCTAAAGTCTTATTGCGTCGTTTTTTTTTTCTCCTTGTGCCATTGTCCAGGTTGAAGTCCAAATTCAACCGGAGGTCGGTAGCCGTTTTACAACCGTACAACGGATGTAAATGAGTCACTGAGACGGTCCTTTATCGGTACGTCGACACCGTGTTTCTCCTTTTTTTTGTTGTTGCCTAACTCATGACGTATCGTGCTGTGCACGGAATGGAGGGCAACGCTGGGAGTGCGTTCTCTCTTGGTCGAATTATGTCGCTTTGTGTGCAGATGTGTATTTTCTTAACGTCTTGTGGTGCGCTCCTCATTTGCGCGACCTTGTATTAATGTCGATGTATTTCGTAAACATGTCGACTTATCAAACGGCACAAGCATTCGTAGTCCACTGCGGCAAACAGGTAAGAGGCCGCAGGTATGTCTACTACTACATTTGTTCTCGCCTGGCTAACATCAGTTTTTGCAGATACTACTCCCTGTCTTGGATTGTGTTTCTGATTTTACGTGTGTTTCAGAACTCCAGGCTCAAGTGGTTGAAAGGGCGTAAATGTTTTGATACTGTTGAAGTACCTGCAGTTAGATTATTTAGTTGTGCCAGATCATGTTGATTATGGTATTAGGGCGTTTTGTCAGGTGTGTTGTATAAAAATGTACTTATAGTAACATAAATTTCTATATGTACATGCTGAACTCAACTGTCTCTACAAATTGTATTGCATGCGCCAATATGCATCCTGAAAATTGATTGGTCCACGTGGCATTTGTCGCTGCACTATTCACCTTGACAGCTGGCAGGAAATATCTACATACGTGGCGTTCTGGCGTCCACGTGGCAAAGGGGTGGCAAAAGGGACTTAAAGCCTAAGTCCTTCAGACAAATGTCACTTCAGATGTCACCTTTTAGTTGTGTCGTGTGGTTGCAATATGACCATTTTTTTGCCGCTTTGTCGTCATTTGTATGCAACTTCGAAAGTCACTCCGCCACAGAAGCCTTTGACCTAGACTTTTTTCTTGCGAAACCAAAGTTGCGGAAAAGCAACTTTGAAGTTGCTATTCCGCAACTTTGCGGGCCTCACACTTTCGCGATGTCCTGGCATAGATTCTGAGAAATTTTCTGCAAATCCTGGAGTTTACGGGTGGAATATTTCGTGGGCAGGCCACACTTCAGTATGAGCAGTGCCAATGTAGGCATGGCTTACAGGAACGTTTTTGTTATTTGGAATAACCTCTGGGTCATCAGCAAATGTGTGAGGCCCGCCTCCATCATCAGTAGCTAGGAATTTACCCTCATCATCTCCTGCCATTCTCTCGCTTCCTGTCTCACTCACAGTACGTCTGCCTCCTGCTGTATCCCCTCTCAGGTCGTGTCCGTGAGGATGACATGTCAAGCTTGTGAGTGTCAACTTCTGGTTTTGACACTTGCCAGCATTGTTGGCAGAGTGTCAACGACATGAAAGCTGCCAGCCAGTAAATTTAGTCGGACATCCCGCTCTGCGAATCGTGTTCCTTCATCCAGCCAACTTAACTGGTAGAATTGAGAATCCTTTCTACCCACACCTGCCCAATCGACGGATGTAATGTTCTGTACGACTGCAAGGTCTTGCAAGAAGTCGCGTGTGGATGTAAAGTTTTTCAAGACTGCAAGGTCTTGCAACAAATTCGTGCCCAACCAATAAGGTTGCGTCGCAGGATTTTGTGCTGCGCTTCGTTTTGACGCTGAGGCTACAATGTTTGACACTCTAAATTCCGCGCGCTTCGTGTTGACACTGCCATGTTGACATGTCATCCCCACGGACATGAACTTATAACAGTGTCTCTTCCTCCTCTCCTGCATCCCATCCCGTCCCTCCCTCACTTGCCCCTTCTTCTGTTCCTCGGTCGCCTTCGCTGCGCTGTATTCGAACGAAGTACACTTTACAAGTTGTGCCTCTCTCGAGTCGCACCTGCTCATCCGACGCCAACTGTACAGACCACGATAGGAAAGACATTTGTACGGTCAGCAGCGTCATGTTTGATGTCGTGTGTCGGGTGGATTCTCGCGAGCTGTACGTAGACGAGAATCCAACCCACCCAGCCAACGCATGGGGACTCAAACGAGCCACGCAATGCCACGTAAGTCTTGCGATGCCACGCCAGCCAAAATGCCGTGCGACGCCAATCGTTCCCACCCCAACCCACCTCGACCCGACCTGACCCTGGACCAACGACGCAACTTCTGTATCCACCGCAATAGAAGAATCTGCAAACCGTGCACGGATGGACGGCGGATGGATTCTCCGACGCATAATCTGCTCGCTTTCTTGAAGGATTCAGAAATCCGAGCCGCCATTTGAAGTGATTCTGGTTGCTAAGTTGCAGCGCCGTAGGAACGGCGGCGGCGATGGCGAATGGCGATGGTACTGGCGATGCGTGCGATGGCGATTGCACTGGCGATGGCGACAGCGATGCGACAGTGGTGAGGCGATGGGCGAGGCGATGCCTGATGGTGATGGCAACCACTAGCTGATAGCACTTCCTGCACCTCACCTCACGCAGCAGCACCCACTACAATCCATCCAGGGCCGCGCCACGGTTTACAGGTTTCGTGTACGGACGGACGGACAGACCGAAGGGCGGCGGTTCCCGAACCGTAGCGAGCAGCAGAATCTCATCAAGCACTGCGAAGCGAAATACCGCCGAGAGAACCCCGTTGCGCGTATGAGAGCCCCTTCCACCGCCGTGGGATAAGCGTATCTTCACGCAAGCTACCCGAACCGACTGTTAGTGGACGGACGCACAATTACAGGCAGCGCCACCGGGATCCTTACCTGAACTGGCGCTACCACCACTAATACTAGAATTGAGCACTACACTCCGCGTACTGAGAGTATCGTGCTCCCTTACAAGCATTCTTGACAGCTCGGAGCTGCACCTATGCATCTATGCATTCTTGAACACTCCATTCCTGCTGCTCGACTCATGCGAAGGCTATAAGACGGTAACTAGGACCTGGCGAACGGCATTGGCTTGCTTACTATCCGCTCCATCCGTTAACCGCTTGCACATATTGCTGGGCTCAGTGGATTAACAATGGGTGGTAAGATATCACAACGCGGCGGCGCGCCATTGTTTTCGCGCTTTCCCGCCGCATCGGCGCTCATCTTCCTCCTCGCATGCTGCCGCGTGTCGCCGACCCGCGGCTCGGCGTTCAAAGTCACCGACGCGTACAGCCCCGCGTGCGGAAAGATCATGACCGAGCCGCCTGCGGGGGGCTTTAAGCGGTGGAGCGACTGGAGGACGTGGGGCGCTTCCGCGAAAGTTCGCGGCGTGCCCGGTACCGGGGCGCGCAGATGGGCTGACGTCATGATTCCGTGCGGAAAGGCTGTGCTGCTGGATGTACCCGATATAAGCGTCGGAAAGCTGAGAATCAGAGGCTGGCTGAAGTGAGTAATCACCTTTGAGACGTCTCAAAACTCTGCTGCTGGATGTACCCGATATAAAGGCGTCGCAAAAGTTGCGGAACCGATGGAGTCTCGTCTATCGCCCCTCGTCCCTCTCCCCTCATCTCTCGTGTTCAGGCGCCTGACGGTGGGCGCGCCGAATGCGAGCGCGAAGCGGGAAGCGACGCTCGGCGGGCTAACCCAGCCGCGCATTTGTGAGCCCATGTCTCCTCCGCTCTCCTCTCGTCTTCGCAGGATAGCCGATGACCCGTCTCTCCCTAAAATCCACGTGCGTGCGGCGTACATAATGGTGTTCGGGCGCCTCACGGCGGGCGAGCCGGATAAGCACTTCTCGAACCGCGTCACGTTCATGCTCTTCCAGAATTTCAAGCAGTCGCGCGCGTCGTACGCCCTTCAGTTTTACAAGCCGTCGGATCCTAACAACCCCCGGGATCTGGGCCACAAGACGTTCGCCGTGGTAAGAAGTGGTACGGAGTGGTGAGGAGTGGCGAGGAGTGGCGAGGAGTGGCGAGGAGTGGCGAGGAGTGGTACGAAGTGGTAAAACTAGCAAGGGGTATCGACGCTGTTTCAGAACTTCAAACAGCAGTGCGCGTCGTACGTCCTTCAGTTTTACAAGCCCTCCGATCCCAACAACCCCTGGGATCTGGGCCACAAGACTTTCGCCGTAGTAAGGAGTGGTAACATTAGCAATAGGAGGAGTACTGATACTGGCACCTAAACAGCCTCCGCGCGCGTCGTATGTCCTCCCATTTTACAAGCCGTCGGATCTTGGAATCCCCCGAGATCTGGGGCACAAGACGTTCGCCGTGGTGAGTAGTGACAGTAACGGCAGTGGTAATGGCGCGGTGCGAATGTGACAGTAACGGGGTGGCTGCTGAGTCGGCTCGCAAAACCGGCACAAGCACCCCCAAATGATCACAATCTAAAGATTTATTGCAATCTCAAAATCTCAACTCAAGTACCTTGCAGGGAGTTTTTGAGAATTCTCAAAAAGTCAAAAACTCTTCAGTTCTGTTTCATAGGCCTCCATTCTTCCCTCCGCCCTTAGCTTCCCCCCTTTCTCTCCCGTCCTCCCTCCTCCCCCCCGTCCCCTCCCCTTCCCTCCGCTTTTCCCCCTCCCCTTAGCGCAGGTGGGCTGGCAGGTGGAGCTGTACGGCATTTCTCAAACCCCTCCCCCTATTTCTCAACCCCCTCCCCCCATTTCTCAACACTAACCCCTCACCCATCCCCACAACCGACCCCCCCATTTCCCCCCCTTCCCCCGCCGCCCCTCCACTCCTGGTCCGCGCAGGTGGGCGGACAGGTGGCTCTCTACGGCATGCCAGGCGGCAGTAACACGCCGTCGTGGGTGCGCCTCGCAGGAACAGCCTCTCACCCCCTCCACCCCCTCCCCCTCCTTCCCCCTTCCCCTTCCCCTGCGCAGGTGGGCGGACAGGTGGCTCTCTACGGCATGCCGGGCGGCGGCAACACGCCGTTGTGGGTGCGCCACTGCAACAGCCACTCACCCCCTCCACCCCCTCCTCCACCTTTCCCCACCTTTCCCCACCTTAACTTTCCCCTTCCCCTGCGCAGGTGGGCGGGCAGGTGGCTCTCTATGGCATGCCGGGCGGCAGCAGCACGCCGTCGTGGGTGCGCCTCACCGAAACGGCGGACGCGGGCGACCGTGCGATCTACGTGAACGCGGACGTGACGCGCTGGGCGCAGGGGATGACCGTCGCGCTGGCGTCCACGTCAGCAAATCTGAACGACGCGGAGCACCACGTCATCACGTCCGTGTCGGTCGTCACGCCTGCGTCTAGACCAGGAAAGAGCGACGGGCGGTACAAAATCAATCTAAAGACAGCGCTTAAGAAGCGGCACGACGGCGTGAAGATTTCGGACGGAGTGGGAGGGACGGTGGGGATTTACGGGGAAGTCGCGCTGTTGGATCGGCACATCGTGATCACGGGCAGCGACGAGCCCGCTCCCTATCAATACGACGGTGAGTTGAGGCGCCTCAAAAGACAAGGTGGGAGGGAGGGTGGGGATTTTCGGAGAGGTTGCGCTGTTGGATCGGCACAATGCGATCACCGGGAGTGACGAGCCCGCTCCGCATCAATACGACGGTGAGAAGTCCATATCTCGTGTCGCTCCCCTTACGCTAATCGCTAAGTCGATGTTACCAACTCTTAATACCTTTATTGCTTGTCTGGTCCTGACCATTCATTAGTTTTGTTGCCTGTTTCCACCGCCTAATTCGCTTTTCCCAGGTGGCAACTCCATGGTTCACATGACGCCCACAGCCCAATAAAACGATAATGCTATGTAACTGACCCTGGCCGTTTTGAGACGTCTCAAAACACTTCTTCAAACTAATGCTATGTAACTGACCCTGACCGTTTTGAGACGTCTCAAAACACTTCTTCAAACTAATGCTATGTAACTGACCCTGACCGTTTTGAGACGTCTCAAAACACTTCTTCAAACTAATGCTATGTAACTGACCCTGACCGTTTTGAGACGTCTCAAAACACTTCTTCAAACTAATGCTATGTAACTGACCCTGACCGTTTTGAGACGTCTCAAAACACTTCTTCAAACTAATGCTATGTAACTGACCCTGACCGTTTTGAGACGTCTCAAAACACTTCTTCAAACTAATGCTATGTAACTGACCCTGACCGTTTTGAGACGTCTCAAAACACTTCTTCAAACTAATGCTATGTAACTGACCCTGACCGTTTTGAGACGTCTCAAAACACTTCTTCAAACTAATGCTATGTAACTGACCCTGACCGTTTTGAGACGTCTCAAAACACTTCTTCAAACTAATGCTATGTAACTGACCCTGACCGTTTTGAGACGTCTCAAAACACTTCTTCAAACTAATGCTATGTAACTGACCCTGACCGTTTTGAGACGTCTCAAAACACTTCTTCAAACTAATGCTATGTAACTGACCCTGACCGTTTTGAGACGTCTCAAAACACTTCTTCAAACTAATGCTATGTAACTGACCCTGACCGTTTTGAGACGTCTCAAAACACTTCTTCAAACTAATGCTATGTAACTGACCCTGACCGTTCTGAGACGTCTCAAAACACTTCTTCAAACTAATGCTATGTAACTGACCCTGACCGTTTTGAGACGTCTCAAAACACTTCTTCAAACTAATGCTATGTAACTGACCCTGACCGTTCTGAGACGTCTCAAAACACTTCTTCAAACTAATGCTATGTAACTGACCCTGACCGTTTTGAGACGTCTCAAAACACTTCTTCAAACTAATGCTATGTAACTGACCCTGACCGTTTTGAGACGTCTCAAAACACTTCTTCAAACTAATGCTATGTAACTGACCCTGACCGTTTTGAGACGTCTCAAAACACTTCTTCAAACTAATGCTATGTAACTGACCCTGACCGTTTTGAGACGTCTCAAAACACTTCTTCAAACTAATGCTATGTAACTGACCCTGACCGTTTTGAGACGTCTCAAAACACTTCTTCAAACTAATGCTATGTAACTGACCCTGACCGTTTTGAGACGTCTCAAAACACTTCTTCAAACTAATGCTATGTAACTGACCCTGACCGTTTTGAGACGTCTCAAAACACTTCTTCAAACTAATGCTATGTAACTGACCCTGACCGTTTTGAGACGTCTCAAAACACTTTTCAAACTAATGCTATGTAACTGACCCTGACCGTTTTGAGACGTCTCAAAACACTTCTTCAAACTAATGCTATGTAACTGACCCTGACCGTTTTGAGACGTCTCAAAACACTTCTTCAAACTAATGCTATGTAACTGACCCTGACCGTTTTGAGACGTCTCAAAACACTTCTTCAAACTAATGCTATGTAACTGACCCTGACCGTTTTGAGACGTCTCAAAACACTTCTTCAAACTAATGCTATGTAACTGACCCTGACCGTTTTGAGACGTCTCAAAACACTTCTTCAAACTAATGCTATGTAACTGACCCTGACCGTTTTGAGACGTCTCAAAACACTTCTTCAAACTAATGCTATGTAACTGACCCTGACCGTTTTGAGACGTCTCAAAACACTTCTTCAAACTAATGCTATGTAACTGACCCTGACCGTTTTGAGACGTCTCAAAACACTTCTTCAAACTAATGCTATGTAACTGACCCTTACCGTTTTGAGACGTCTCAAAACACTTCTTCAAACTAATGCTATGTAACTGACCCTGACCGTTTTGAGACGTCTCAAAACACTTCTTCAAACTAATGCTATGTAACTGACCCTGACCGTTTTGAGACGTCTCAAAACACTTCTTCAAACTAATGCTATGTAACTGACCCTGACCGTTTTGAGACGTCTCAAAACACTTCTTCAAACTAATGCTATGTAACTGACCCTGACCGTTCTGAGACGTCTCAAAACACTTCTTCAAACTAATGCTATGTAACTGACCCTGACCGTTTTGAGACGTCTCAAAACACTTCTTCAAACTAATGCTATGTAACTGACCCTGACCGTTTTGAGACGTCTCAAAACACTTCTTCAAACTAATGCTGTGTAACTGACCCTGACCGTACGGGTCCCTTCCCTTTTTCTACCACCTAATCCTGCTTTTCCCAGGTGGCAACTTCATGGTTTATATGACGCCTACAGCCCAAAAAATCGTGGGTGTTCAGTTTCGAGCTCTCGGAAACCAGGGCGTGCTGGGTAAATACCCTCTGCATTTCCACGTGTGCGGGCAAAAGGGCCAGAACCACATTGTGCGGAAAAACGCAATCGTTTTCACGAAGCAGCGATGCATGGTGATTCACGCGACGGGTAACATGACAATAGAGGAGAACGTTTCGTACGAAACGAAGGGCCACTGCTACCTGCTGGAGGAGGGGTCCGAAATGCGAAACGTGTTTCGGCGAAACCTTGGGATCAACGCGCGGAAAGTGGACAAAGTAATCCCGGCGCAAACTTCCAGCCGGTTGGATTTGCAAACGGACAAGCAGCCGACAACTTTCTGGCTCGCGACGCCCTTCAGCAGCTTCATAAACAATGTTGCCGCCGGCTCAGAAGATTCTGGGTGAGCCTCCCCTCCCCTGCTCCCCTTCCCTTCCCAGCCCCTCCCCAACCCTCCCAACCCCTCCCCCTCCCGTTCCCCTTCCCGCCCCCTCCCGTTCCCCTCCCCTGCCCCTCTTTGATGCCTTCTCCCTTTCCACTGCCCCTCTTCCCATTTTCCAGCTCGCCACACCCTTCAGCCTCCTCTGGCTGCCCCTCCCTCCTCTATGTGTGTTGTGAGTCGACTCAAAACACACCTCTGTGCTCCATTTCCTATCCATGCTCCCGTTGCGCCCTCTCCGATCCCCTTCCTTTTCCCCCTTCCCTCTCCCTGATCCCCTTCCCTCTCTCTGCTCCCCTTTCTTCCTCTCCCTCCCCCTCCCCCCTCTCCGCTTTTGTGTGTGTGTGTGTGTGGGGGGGGGGGGGGGGGGGGGGTGTGCGTGGGTGCGTGCGTGTGTGTGTGCATCCGTCCGTGCGTGTGCATCCGTGCGTGTGTTCCCTTATCAGGTTCTGGCTAGAGGCAAACCCATACATGAGGGGACTCTCAAAGCTCCTACCAAACATTGGCTCAACAGTGCCCTTCTATTACAACTGGGGCACGTGGGACGGCAACCACGCCCACTCCAATGCCCTCTTCGGCTTCCGCACCTACCCGCACGGGTCACGGCCGCACTACCCGTCTCCCACCAAGAACCCCCGCGTCTCCCTTAAGAACTTCCTCGTTTACCGCAACAAGGCAGGGTGAGTGAGCAACCCGTGTCTAGTGTCCTTCACATGCTAGAGAGCCCACTCCGACCTCTTTGGATTCCTCACCAACCTGCACATATCCGATTTGGCTTCACTATCTCATCGGCCATATCGGCCTCACTATCTGTGATATGGAGAACAGAAATCTATTTCGACGGTTAGAACGGAGGCCTCTTGACCAATACCGTCACTCCCTCCTCTCCCTCCCTTTCTACCGTCTCCCACGCTCCTCCTTGCCCTTTCCCTCGCCTTCCCCTTCTATCCTCTTTCGTCACGGCAGCATGTTCGCTTCACATCAAGCGCCTGATAGAATAGAACAGGGTGTTTCATCCCACCCATTCACTTATCCCCTTCTTTCCCTTCTTTCCCCTCTTCCCCGCCACAGAATGTTCTTTTTCAATAGCGAGCGACTGATAGTGGAGAACGGGGTGTTTCTGGACAATGGCATCGGCATCGACTTGAGCCGCAATGCCGGCGTGCAAGCAAAGGGCTGCCGCTTCATCGGCCGCTCCTCCTCCTCCTGCTCGTGAGTGCTCCTGCTGCTGCCCGCGAGTGGCCGATCCTCCTCTCCTTCTGCTCATGAGTCGTGCTGCCCGCCTTTTTTTTTTTGGTAGGATTCCGTCTGTTACTGCATTGACTGTTCCTCCTTCGTAAATCCAAAAAAAAAAAAAAAAAAAAAATCCTGCTACTGCATTTGCCACTGTGTAGATCAAACGTACCTGCTCGCTTCCCATCTCATCCTTGTCACCTTCTTTTCCTTCTTCCCCTCTCGCGTCCCCTCTTCTCCCTCCTCTCCCTTCCCCTCTAGGTCCTCCAATGCCGTAACAACAACCACAGCGTTTGCCACCACCACCGCCACTACCCAGGAAACATCCAACGGTTCAGATGGCTCCATCCCACCAGACGGAACCATCACAGACAACAGCAGCGCTGCCGACGCAACCACCCCACCACCCGAGTCCCTTCCAGGAAATGACACCACTGCTACCACACCTCCCAACGCTCCAGATAATTCTACCCTTCCAGGCAATGGCAGCTCAGGTGGTGATGGTGCTGCTACTACTCCTCCCAACCCACCAGACAGCTCCCTTCCCCAAGGTCCCACCACTCTGTGGCAGCCTTTCACTCTGCAGGCGTCTCTGGGACCTCTTGATCCTTATGCAGACGATGGCAGCACTGACAGTAGCAGCGGCGACAGCGGCAGCAAAAGCACCACCAGCAGCGGCAATAAGGCTTTTGAGGATGCAGGGATGACTGCTCCTGCCCAGGGTGCACCTAGTGGGGTGGTTGATCCGATGGGGCCATCGCTGCAGGATCAAGCCGGGACTTATTCCGCCCCGATTGGCATCGCGCTGAGTCAGAGCAACCCGCAGGACCACCTCTACCCCAACTCTATCCAGGACAGCTCGTGAGTTTGACTGTACTCGTTATAAGGTGCTGCGCTACTCGCTATAGAGTAAGACTGGGAACACCATGAGTCAGAGCAACCTCCAGGACACCTCGTGAGTTTGACTGTACTCGTTTATCAGGTGCTGCAGTACTCGTTATAGTGTGCTTCGGTTCCAGTTAAGGTTTGCCAATTCTCTTGTCTCCCTCCACCGCCTCTCTCCCTTGACCCCCCATCCCTCCCTTGTCCAACTTCCACTGCTTCTGCCTGCACATCCAGCTGCCGCAATTCTAGCATTTGTAATTCCCTCCCTACCTCCCACCTTCCCACCCTCCCTCCCTCCTTTTCCCCTCCTAACCTTTTTCCCCTTCCCCAGCTTCCACCGCTTTGGCTCGTGTAGCAGCAGCAGCTTTGGGATCGCTCTTGTGGCCAATAAGGCAGGCGGATACTGGAACACTGCCATGTTCGTTAAGGTACGCTCGTTACAGTCACGTTCATGTAGGTGCTTCTGTTTGTGAGCAGCGGGGCTGTTCTGCATTTGTTCTGCTTTAAACAGTGAGTGAGACTGTTTAGCCTTCACAAGTCAACATGCAAGCAATCCGCAGTGTCATGCTTTTCCTTCTCTTTCCTTTTTTTAGTGAGGGCTTTGAGTCGACTCAAAAGTCAACATGCAAGCAATCCGCAGTGTCATGCTTTTCCTTCTCTTTCTTTTTTTAAAGAGGGCTTTGAGTCCACTCAAAAGTCAACATGCAAGCAATCCGCAGCATCATATCTTTTCTTTGCTGTCCCTCGTTCACTCCGAATCTCCCATTCCATTCACACAGGGCCTATCCTTTAGCTCAGGCACCAACAAGTTCTGGGCCACACCGAATCCAGTGAGTCACACTAAACCTGGCACTGTTTCGTCCAGTGTTTGATGCGTTTTGTTATGGTTACGATTTCGATCTCTTCTTCCCTAAACCCTGAAAAATGTTTTTTTTTTCTTCTCCCCTCTTGTTTTGTGAGCATGGCATTTCTGTACCTTGCCCTAATACGAACATTTTTTTTTCCGTGTTATAATTTCTTCCAGTCCTCAGGCACACCACCTCGGGGGGGTCTGGTGGCGCGCTTCTACGCCCTCCGGGACGTCGATGGGTCCCTGCTCGGCCAGTCAGGCTATGCCGTTGCCAACTACGACCCCATCCTGCCGCCCTCCTCGGTCCGGTCTGCAAAGTGCGACTTCAAGAGCGCCTTTTCGGCCTATTCCTGCACCTCCGTCTGCTACCGGACGGTCGGGCTGGAGTATGACGAGTACGGAGCTACCAGCAGGGGGGGCGTTCTCAGGCCGTACTCTTACCTGAAGATCACGCGAATGGACGACGGCACCTTCTTTCACGCCTACGGAACCGACAACGACGACCCCAAACGCAAGGCTGCGAGCAGCAAGAGGCGGTTTCTCACCGCCTCGCTTCTAGCCGGGTACACGTACCGGATACAGATCATTGCCGCTGACACCAACAGCGAGTTTTACCCGAGTAAAATGCAGCTGAACGTGTTCGACTGGCAGGGGTGCACTGGGAGCGTTCGCGTGGTTATAGACTCCCCGAATTCGAGCAGCAAGTGGCGGGCTGACGTGCCTACAGTGCCATGCTCTGCTGCTAACGAGATGAAGGTTTATAAGGAGTACGCGTGCGGGGAGGGGAAGTCGAGGCTGAGGCTAGATATCGGGGCGAGCAGCAGCGGCAAAGCAGCGGTTGTGATGGACTTGAATCAAGGCGTCAGCACCTCGTGCTCCTCAGACTCGTGAGTGCTGGTTCGGGCAATGAGCCTCTATTTTTTCTTCTTCTTTTTTCCCCATTAGTCTGCTAAAGAATCCGTGTGTGATGAGATGACACAGCTTGACTAAAAAATCGTTTCTTCTGTTTCGCCCAATCCACAGAGAGGTACCATCACAGTATCTCTCTCCCCTCTCCATCTTGCTTCTTGCCAACACCGACTCAGCCTTTTCCATCTCCACCTCACCCATCTCTATCCCCCCTTCGATCCACAGTGGTTGCTCCAGCATCACTTCTGCTGCTCTCCCGCCCCTCTCCATCGCGCCTCTTGTCGACATCGAGTCGGCCTTTTCCTCCACAGACCCGTTCTTTGACCTGAGCTTCTACGCGGGCGGAGCGGATGACCCCCACACGGTGCTCTGATAAGCCGCTCTGACGAAGGGTTTCAGGTATATTCCTCGCCAGTGCTGATAAGACGGGACAGGTGGAGCAGTACGGTATATGTGATTTTGGGTACGTAGGAGCAGTTTTGGGGTAGTAGGGAATAAATTAACAGCGTACCGTATCGCCCCGGATATAGGCGCCGTCCGATTATAGGCGCTGGCGCCTCTATCTGGAGCATGGCGCTTATGGCCGGACCTCGATTAGAAGCGCCCCCCCTGAGATTTGTGTACTTATTATAAACGCCACCATTCGACTACTTAGCTGGTTTTACATTGAAATCACATTCATAACAATATTGAGAAAGCTTGCTTTCTTTCTTATCAATTGGCATCGTTCTCATTACAAATGGCGTATTACAACATTTGCATCATCGTTCGACATAAGCTAATGCGGACTAATAACACTAGCTATTATGTACCCTATCCAAGTGGCATTAGCAAGGCGGTTTACACTGGGGTGGGTGGTGGGAATGTTGAGTGAGCCGTTTGAAAATTGAGAAACGTGGGTGGAGGGAAATGAGCTCCAACCCACGGTTTTTGTAGTTGGAGAAGGGCGTTTAGCGCGCTTCGACGATGCCAATTGTGCAATACAAGCAGTTTCGCTTTCACAATACACAATTTTAAAAAACACTACATGTGTGTTTAAAAATTATAATATTGAGAAAGCTTGCTTTCTTTCTTATCAATTGGCATCGTTCTCATTACAAATGGGGTCTCTGAGACATGGGCAGCGGGGGCCTCCGGTTGCGTACGAGTGCCTCTGTGTGTTGCGCCGATGACACCGCATGCGTCGAATCTTGTAGGGTACGGGAGGCTTCGATGAGGGGCTCGACGTATGGCGTAACATACATTTCCTTTGCTGTGTCGCTTCGCCATCTGCCCAACCGTTTGAAGACTCTGTCTGGCACTCCCGTGTTGGCTGCTACTGTGGCTGCACCTTTTCGGAAAGAATGGGTGCCTAGCTGCAACTCTCCAAGGCCAACCTTTGCGAAGGCTTCCTTGCACTAGTTCCGGATCGTAGTGTATGAAGGTGGCCTAGCCTGGCCCTCGCTGGTTGAACCGTGACCGAAGACACGAATCAATGGTCCCTCTGACCGTGGGCCATAGCCAGCGAGTCGGATGAAGCGTCGGGTGCAGCGCACTGGGCAGCAGGGGTCCGCCGTTGCTGCAATGGGTATCCAAGTGCCGTGACCAGCTTGATCGGTCTTGGAGTGTGGTATGAGAATCCACATGACCTCGTCGTCGAATTGGATGTCTTGCCATTTTATGGCTACTAGGTCAGAGTATCGCAGGAATCCGGAGTACATGAGGATGGGTATCAACCCTTTCTGAAATTGCGCAGGATCGTCGGACTGCAAGTAGCTCGCGGCCATTTCCTGGACTTGTTGGATCGAGACGGGTTCCTTCAGACGAGTAGGGCGTGGGCAGTGTCGCTTTGCATAGTCACGGACTTGGGTGGTGAACGGTCCGGTTGTCGGGCATTTGCTCCCGGTCATGCGATGGGCGAAGCTGACCGCCGAGCAGGTTAGCTGCACTACGGACAGGGTGGCTTTGCGTCGGATTGCGTGTACCAGGTATAGCGCGAGGGTCATGTCGGATGCCGGGAGGAATGGAAGGTTCACTTTTGTGCAGAAGGCTCGAAACTTGGCCCAGTATGGTTCATATGTCCGGATCGTAGAATCGGCGCGGGACTGCGCGAGCATGTTGATCAGTTGGTCGTGTAACTTTGGGAGCAAATCTGAACACAAGGTGTATATATTTTGAATTAGTCAAATGCCACTCGCAGTGCAATGATTGGGCTGTGCGGTAGTCCCATGCCCGAAAAAGCAGATGAATGGGACCCTACGTCTAGGCATTGGCTTCCGTGTGTCAGAGGGATGTGCGCGTGGATGTGTGGTGCCCAAGTGCGTGGGGAGGGTTGCAAGAGTGGCCACCAGTTTGCGCCTGGCCAGTGCGGAACTATCAGTGTGAGTGATGCATGGGTGCGTTGTGCGTGATGGAGGACGGCTGGGACCAGTTGAGGTGGGGGGAAGGCGAAGTTGTTTTCAGGTGTCCACGGGATCGAGAACGCATCAACTGCAATGGCTGCCGGGTGGGGAATCTTTGAACAGAAGCGCGGCAGTTGGGTGTTGCGGGAGTTTGCGAAAAGGTCGATGGAGTGAGGACCCCAACGACGTTCCAAGATCCGGAACCACGGCGTTTTCAGCGCGTAATCGTCGTGGTCGACCATTTTTGAAAGCTCGTCGGCGTGTGTGTTGAGCTCGCGCGGAATCCATTCAATGATCAAGCGCGTGCCAAGCGCCATGCATGTTCGGATGATGCTCTTGCATGCCGTTGTGAGGTCGGGGCTGTGAGAGCCGCCTTTGCGAAGGATGAAGAATACGCCCTGGTTGTCCACCCGCACGAGAACGTGTTTTTGCTTGATCTTGTTCGCGTACGTTTGTAGCGCCCAAAGGACGCCTTCGATCTCCCGTCGCGTGCTGGACGTTCCTCGTAGCGGCTCTGACATGGTTGCGCTAGCTTCTTCGATGCCACCCGGAAATGTGGTCAGAGTGGCGCCCCAACCATGAGAGCTGGCATCCACGTGGATTACCGCGTCGTAGCTGTTCTTGACGTGAAAAGGTGCGCCGTTGAAACGGTCGAACTCCTCGAGCCAAAATTGGAGCTCTTCTGCTGCAGATGGGGGGATAACGACGCTGCTTTTCCATGACGGTGCGTCGTCGATCACTTGCAACATAGCATGGCTGAATGCGCGAGCTGTCGCGCCAAGTGCGACACCCATCGATGCGAGCATGCCAGTGATTCTGGCCACGTGGCGGACCGGGACTGGTCGGCATGCCTTGCTTGCGCTCAGGAGGTTCCGGATGGTTGCATGTAGTGAGGCTCGTCGGTCCGGACCGATGGAGAATCGGCCGGTATCGGTCTCGAGTTCTACGCCCAGGAATCGGAGACGCTGCGATGGTGACAGTTGTGATTTCTTCGCGTTTATCACAAGGCCTGCCTCTTTAAGATCCAATATCACCCGCTGGCAAGTTGCTTGCGCGTCCTCTTTCGACTGGCAGAGAAATAAGATGTCGTCCACGTAAGGTACGACTCGGATGCCTTGTTCTCGCCAACGCCGAGCTAGTTGCTTGATGAGCTGCGTGAAAACGAATGGAGCTGTCGCGAGGCCAAATGGTAGTGAACGGAATGCGTATGTGCGCTTATCAAATTCAAAGCCAAGGAACTTCCAGCACGATGGGTGGATGTCGATGTGGTGGTAACCAGATTTGAGGTCAATGGAGAACATCCAGTCCCCAACGCGCGCAAGGTCGGCGACGCGGCTGAGCCCTTCGTACTTGAACTTGGGGATGATCAAGTTGGCGTTGACTTTCCTCAGATCAAGAATGAGCCTGCATTTGTCTTTTTGCTCGACCACGTTGAGTGGACTTATGCATGTAAGCTCCGTTGCGGCCATCGGAATTGCCGCTCCCGTCTCTATGAGTTCTTGGATGGCGGTACGTGTGAACGTGGCATGCGTGTTTGCCCCTACATGATTGCGATCGTGGAAATGTTGCGGTGGGCCGTGGCTCCATGGCAACCAGTAACCCTTCGCGATGACGGAGAGGACAAGGCTGCTGGGGCACCATGAGCTCCACCACGCAAATGTCGCGCGAAGACGACCGCGCATGTGTGTAATAGTTCTGTCTGTAACGGCAAATTCGTACGGATCGTCGTGGCATGCCGCCTCGCACCGTCGTGCTCCTGTACATTTGAGACCAAGTGGTATAAGCTTTGAGTATTCCACGTTAAAGCATGCGTGTGCATGTACTTGTACGGGCAACCATTGATCGAAGGTGTGAAGAGAATGAACAATTGAATGAAATGTCAACGAATGTGTCGGGAATATTAACGCATGTCAACGCATGTCTCTTCTTCTCCTCGTTTCCCCTTTTTTTTTTTTTTTTTTTTTTTGCCCCGTCGTCCACTTGGTAGGACATGGTTGTGCCTGCCCTTAGTGCGTAGGGGCTGATGCCTAGGGCCATGGACACCGTTGTCCATTGTGCTTTCTCTCATTCTCTCTTTGCCAAAACCATAGGCCTTTAGGAAGGTAGTTTTTATTAAATCAACCAACACACATAGCAATGCTTTCCTAGCATGCCACCAAGTGGCCAACATATGGGACCGAGGGGTTGTTGTTCCCCTTCCCTATCCTAGGCCCAAGCCTATCCCACCCTTTACTAGGGCTGGCCTCTTGTCATCGCAAACCCCTAGGGTTGCCCACGGTTTTCGCACTCAAGAGTGCACCGTGCCTAGCGCCCAAGCGCCTAGTCTCATGGCCCGCTCCTACACCACCGGAGCGGGTCCCTGGCCTCCATGCCCGTTCCGAGGGCAGGCACTTGCCACGTGGCCCGGCTGGCCGCAGCGGAAGCATGAGCCCCGGAACCCACGGCAATTGGCCGTGGGCGGGGGGCCTCGCTTGGGTAAGAACGGCATCGGCCCGTTGTTTCCGCCGCGGTTGACACGAGCGTATCCGCTTGCCGCACGGTCCATCGCCGACATGTCCGCGACCGCCTGCTTGAAGGGTCGAGAAGTCAGCAGGCTCTTCTGCTGGTACAGCTTAAAGCGCTTCGCCGTGCGAAAGTCGGAGGCGTCCTCCACTTGAAGCACCTCGAAACGCCCCGCGATGAGGTTGAGAGCGTGTGAGATGAGTTCGAGTCCGCCCGCCGGATCACCGCGCTGCGCCTTGTATTCGGCGTGCAGCAGGTACGCCCGCAGGTCCTCCAGTAGCTCCGCTTGCTCTCGCACGGAGTCGTTGACGAAGGTTGCCGCCGAGAAGGTAAGATTAGAAGAAGGGAGGGGGGGAAGGTTTTCCGTGCCAATAAAATTAACATTGTTGACTGGAGCCTCACCGGCTTCATCTTCAGAGTCGTCGGTGTCGTTGTCGACCGCTGGAGCAGGGGGAGCGGCAGTCGCTGCGTCGTTGTCATGCCGGTTCGT